AACCAGGACCTTCTGGTTACAAGGGGAGCTAGCTCGTAGACCATTAAACCACTGGGACGCAGTCCAGTGGGCAGTCCATGAATTGTAACTTCTGTCAATTCATGACACAGCGTCACCATTTCGTAATGTCTTCTTCGATGAGTTCCTGCCTCATCTTTAATCTGCTGTACCTTACTGCTCACGGCTTCCCAATATTTTTAAGTTTTTTGTAGTTCTGCTAGGTGATATCATCTGTTTATAGATTAGATCAACCTTGAATGGAAACATGGCTTCATAAATCTGTCAGTTTGATTTTAAGTAATGATTAGTTGAATCAAGGAAACTAATTGGAAATCATAAGAAAATATGATTCAGTATACGCCCTATTTAATTACTTCAATGTACATAGGTATATGTAGTGCTTACTATTGTTTATTACGTTTATTTCAATGATGTTTGTTTCCTCAAACATGCGCATAATTCACTAATTGTTAGTGGATTCATGTTATTCTGTTTATTGTAAACAATAGCTTAGTTAATTAATTATACAGAATGATGAAATAAATTATCCTTAACAGAGTTAAAACAAATCCAGATTCAATTTTTTCTTGTTTATTTGTTAAACCAATAAACTGGAATATATAGAGATATATCATGTCCTCTATTGCAGATTCCGTGATTCTACTTAACCGAGAATAAAGCTGGAAACATTCAGTTATAAGTTGGGAAGATATTAATCTCTGGGACAGTGTTAATGCAGCTAAATGTCTATAGCTATTAGAACTATCTAGAACGCTGAATAAAAGAAAGGCGATCAATAAAAACTAGAAGTGTCTGTAGTTTTTGGGTTGGTCTCCACCTGGAAAGATATTTCACCAGGCTTTCAAGTTTCTGTAGCCTCACCTATGTCCAAGTGATCCGCAACGAAAAACTTAGTGAAGAAGCCTTTTAAGGGAAAACAGGTATAACGCAAGACTGTATGCCTACTATCACCGATGATATTTCTAATCATGGCGGACTGTTTCATGCAACAAATGGGAGGAGGAGGAGATCCGACTTCAAGGATGATTTATGCTCAGTGTTACGCGAACTCGAAGAATCACAGGTAGGAAAGGGGGAGAGAAGACATGACCCCAATTAAAAATAGAGGAAACGAAGGTGATGAAGACACGCAACTGAAAACAGGAAGGACCAATCATTTTCAAAGGAGGAAATTTGAACGCGGCCATTTTCTTCACTTATCTAAGCTGTAGCATTTCAGTTACAGGTTTCACGGATTAGGATGTCAGGGCAGTTGGGAGCAGGAAAGTAAGACAAGCCTTTACTAATCCGAAATCAGTGTGAAAATCTGAGGCACTCATCGGAAAGAATAACGTCCAAATCTTCAAAACCACTAACAAGTCAGTCACTTGTTCTGTAAGGTTCAGAGACTTTGGGAGCAAATGACGAAAGGTATTTTCAAAAGGCCATTGCAGAATTATATCAGCAGCCGCATTAAATCAATAACGAATATCAAATAGGCAGAATAAGGAGCAAGGAACTCTGGCCCGAAACGAACTAGATACGATCCTATGATCTCACAAACATGTAGAAGGAAGTGGTGATGAATTGCATTCACATTGAGTAGGCTGTTGAGTGACATGGGGTGCCAGGCCTTCACTCGAGTGTTATTCGACTGAGAAACGGTGAGCTAGCCACAAGTCCATGACATGAATGACATGAGGAAGATCTTCTGAAGAGCTAAAAGGACTGCAGAGGAGAGGATGAAATTCGGATGTGCTACTGAAGCCCTATGTCACATTTAAAACTTAAGGGAATAAAAAAAATAAATAACGGCATTCTGAAAAGATAATATTTTCAAATAATTATTAAACAGTCTTTTGGGAATTAAACTTCAGACACAGCTACATCAACAGCATAGCTGACAACGATTACGTCTGCATTTCCTCAAAACTACTCCTAGTAAATGTTTTTATACAAATATTTCCGTTTTTGTTACTTAAGAGTAAACTGATTTTGTAAATTTAGAAGAGGAAATAAAACAAATTGGCTCCATAGTAAAATACACACAGTCTTCTTATGGATAATGTGTTTACACATACACATACACACACACAGGGCATAATTCCCAGTGTATTTTAATTGCAAAATATTTACTGTCCTTCCAAGATACTCAGGTAAAATAATGATTGACAGTGTATCATGTGACGCAATATTCTCTGTTTTCACGGAAGTTTATATCACTAATAGTATTCTGGCTTTATTGTTGTTCTAAAAGCGCATAATTGTCGATTGAAAGTTGATTAGAAATATGCTTGAGTAAATGCTGCAATCTATGGACGCAAATGCATGATTAAAACAGCATGAATGAAGGCAAAATTAATGCATTAAACCAGATGAAAATTTAAGTAGCCCAGTTGATTTAAAAAAGTCTCAGTGAAAAAGTAACATTTTTAGTTCTGAGTGAAACATAACGCTTCAACAGCACATCTCCACTTCATAGTGTTTTCTGAAGTATTATTTAGATGGCTCCACGATTGACTATGAGGTCTCATGTCCTCCTCGCATACGTCACTCTCAGAGCCACTCTCAACTCGTCATTTCCCACTTTGGTTTCACTCGACAGATAACCAGGCGCTTGACTTCCCTCAGTGGTCTATTCCGGGCATGTGTGATCCATTTCCGTTCCCTTCTGCATATTCGTCCGGCTATCGGTCCTTAATTGGTTCTTTCCCAGGGTCCTTTGCTACTTATTCTTTCTGGCAGGCCATCTGACCTTCAGTATTGAGCTAGCAAAGCATTCAGCTTCTGATGAAAGTCGGAAGACAGTGAGCAATAACACTCATCACTAATAATAATACCTATAAGTTTAATAAGCAATATGTTATATTTTACGGGTTGATCACGGATTGATATCAGTTAGAGAACCATTGAAAACCAGGGAGTACTGGACAGCTGCTGTTTCATCCTAGTTTGGGAATCATCGGCAGTACGCACCCACCACCAGGGTTCGAACCCAGGACCTTCCGGTTACAAGGCAAGCTCGTATACCATTCAGCCACTGGAACCCGATTCAATGGCTCGTGAATTCTAACTTCTACTAATTCGTGATTTAGCGCGACCCCAACCATTGTCGTTGGTGGGACATCCATCCACACACGTGACATCTAATTGGACCTCACTGGTCACGACTTCTCACTAGAACTCAGGAAACTTCAACCTGTAGCAAGTCACTAGCCAGCATCAGATTAACTTTCTATAGTTTGGTTTGTAAGGATTAGTTATGTTTTACGGGTTGATCACGGATTGATATGTTATAGACTGTTACAAATTAGACCTCACACAATTCAACATTAAACTAAAATCAAGTCTTTATGATTTGATCTTAGATCGTAATCAGTTAGAGAACCACTGAAAATAAAGCACAGGAGCACTGGACAGCGGTTTCATCCCAGTCCGGGAATCATCGGCAGTACACACCCACCACTAGAGTTCGAACCCAGGACCTTCCGGTTACAATGGAAGCTCGTATACTATTCAGTCACTGGGACCCGATTTAATGACCAGCCCATGAATTTTAACTTCTACCAATTCGTAATTTAGCGTGACCACTAACCATTGTTATCGATGGGAAACCTATCCTCACGTTAAACCGGATGGACATCACTGGTCACGAAGGTCCTGGGTTTTAACCCCTGTGGGTGCGTACTGCCGATGATTCCCAAACTAGGATTAAACAGCTGTCCAGTAGTCCCTGATTTTGAATGGTTCTCTAACTGATAACAATCTCTGATCTGCTCATAGAAACAAATCTAATCCTTACACACCAACTATTAAAATCAAGTAATTATTTGAAGCCTTTTTATCTTGTTCAAACTCCACAGTGTGGGCCAACATAAAGAGACTGATTGCATTTTATTCAGCTGAATAAAAGTAACGCATAAATGTAAAGTATTACTTAGGGTTCAAAGTTTTAGTCAGTATGGTATTGTCTGTTTGTTTATTTCTTTTCGTGGTGGTGGGGTAGCTAATCCCACGCTGAACTAATACTTTTACTCGGGATTGAAACCAGTTAGAATGGTAGGCGAAGTTTGAATAAGAATGCATCTAATCTCTTGATTTTCTTATCCTTATGTCGGTAAACAGAATAAGCAAAATTACGCAGCATAAACAACAATATTCTTATTTTTAACACCATTAATTACTCAGCCGGCACTTCTGTTTGGGTCAGGAACTTCCAGTGAGCATCAAGAAAAGCATTCCCAACACACCATTGATGACTTGCATCAACAGCTACCACCCTTACTGACTTCATACTGAGGATCAGATGGTCAGTCGGCCGGAAATGATTAGCAGCAACAAACTCTGGAGATCAACAGACTAACGATGAGCCTATCACTCATCAAATACTCGAAGGGAAATGTAAAGGCATTGCATACATTATGAGGAGATAGTTCAATGACATCGGTGACCACATGGGTCCTGGAGTGGAAGCCGAGTGCGAGATGATGAGTTGTGCATGGCTGTGGTGGTAATATTTTGGAGATTGTTTGGGGGAGGGGTAGATGATAGATCATGGGGAGTAGTGGCACCAGCTGAATAGGATTGCAGAGAATAGGATGAAGTTGAGATGTGTTATTGAAGCGCCATGTTTAACTCGAAAGCCGATGAAGTAGTAATAAATATACTGTACCCTGAATACTTATATATTTGAAGACTGGAACTTAAAACAGCATCGAAAAAGCTGGTACATGACTGATTTTATGCGCTAATATAGTTTAGAAATTGATAACTGTCAGGCTTTATTATGTTTTTCTAATTTATGGGTACTAATTATTTCGGTAATCGGTATTTCAGTAATTTCCTTGAAACAGTTGAGTATCTATAACTGACGCTGAGCCAATATCGTGTATGACCTAATGTGTTACTTTGCACCACATAACGTTTGACCTAAATGTAGTAATGAGGTTCGGAAAAACTATTCTGTGAAAGATAATTATGATTTTTTTTAATGATTTCAGGTTAGACAAAGGAAAAATTCGAAAGATCACTTGGCAAATCCTCCTCGCAACGGATTTCTGTCATCAGTCAAATGTGAGTGTTTGTATATTTCAGCTTCTCATTGTTTTTAAAGGAATGTGTTATTCTTCACCGACAATTTATTTTATCACCTGACATTAAATAGTCACATGAACACTGTGATTTATGCAGTAGTATCAAGTTTGCAGTCAGTTTAGTGTTTTGAGATGAATATTTCCATTGAATACTAGGCAGTCAGTATATAGTGTTATGCGTCTGGATCTTGGTGTTCAAGCAGACTGAATTCTGTCAGTCAATTTCACAATGTGGCCACCATTCTAGGTGGCTCACCATCATGGTGCACTATGAATTCTTGTTATTATTTCACGGTTGAAGGCAGTCGGAAAGAAGCCTCGGATCTAAGTTTTGTGCTTGCTGGCAAATGGTGGTCAGCAGAGTGTGCTTACAGTCTTGAAGGAACTCATCTTCCCTTTGAGATTCGAACGAGTATCACTCAGTGTTGCATTGAGAGACGTTACCATTTGGTGGTTGACCTCCTGCAGGACAATTATGGATAATTTGTTTGGATACTAGGTTCAATGATGTGACAGTTAGGTGTGTAACTATGTTCTTACTTATTATTACTATTATTATCATCATCTAACAGAAGTTCAGAGGGAACCATAACGGTGAGTCGTCTAACACGGTGACCACATTGCAAACTTGACTGATAGAATTCAGTCTGCACGAAAAAAAATGACCAGACACATGACACATGTCCTAGTATCCTACAGCCACAATAGCTCATGAGTAACATCTTTAATTATTTGATTGGGTGACCCGGGGTGTAGATCTCAGGAGGGACATAAGTTCTTTTAAGATTGCAGAAACGTCTTGCTGACTGACTGGTGAGTGTCAACAGGCACAAAATCTAAGTCAGGCTAGGCTTCCTTCCGATTGCGTCTAACCACCTAACAACAAAGTAAATTATATAAACGGAAAGCTTGAACATTTAAAAGTGCAACAATGATCACCATGTTGAAAAAAGTTTGACGAAATGGTAAGACAGCATTTTTGTCACTTAATTATAAGCTATTAATTTGATCAGTGAAATGATTAGATATCATATTAAACTACTAGTATGACTAAAGTCAGTATAGAAACCACTGCATTTAGTTAGTTCGACTTTTGACTCTTAGAACTTAGCGTTGAAATGTCTAGTCATCCCTAAATTTTAAAAGCAGAAAGGTTTTACTTAAAAAAGTAACTAAGGTGATATGTTCCTATTATAATTTCTCTGTATCTGACTAAGGTAAATTTAGAAAGAAGAAATACTTGACCTCTGTTGACGTTTACGTAGAACTTTCAGACAATATTCAGTATTCAGGTCCTTCGTAAAATCAAAGTCTCTTCACAGTGTATTTTCAAACCATACTTTCTCTCAAAGTGACGTTAACTGGAGTAAGATTTAAAAATAAGAATCGTGGAGAAGCCATTTTATCTCATTTACAACCCATTTTGGTGATGAGGACCTTAATGCAATTAGGTACTGCGTCGTCAGATCCCTAGTCACACACCCGTAAACCTGGTTTAAGATCTCCAAATGTATATGGCCCCCAGTGTTATAGGTGAGCGATTATCTGTACCGCAGACTTAATATAAAAGACTGATTAACGTAAGCTGGTGTCCAATCCAAGTATCCAGTCCTGCAGGACGTTAATCGCGAGCCGGAATAACTCAGTGGTAACGCCTCTGACTGCAGTACTCACTGGGTGACGCGAGTTCGAATCTCAAAAGGGACATCAGTTCCTTCAAGTTGGTTGCAGATACGCCTTGCTGACTGGGGGGTGCCAACCAACACGAAACCTAGGTCTCTGTGCGTTGATGCCACACAGGTAGAATGCTCGACAGCCACTCAGGTGCTGCGGGGTTCGATCCCAGGCCAACGTAACCCCCAACCTCTCTTAGCTAATAATAAGCTCAGCAAACAGAGAAGGCTGGGCGTGAGTCCCACCCCGTAGAAATGAGACCATTACTACCGAAATTTCAAAGCTGTAGCTTTGAACTTTATGTTCTAATGAGAGCGCAAAGGAAAAAAGTAAAACAATAAAAGCAACGGCCAATATATAACTGACTCCACAGGAACACTTAGACTTGTGGATACAGTTAGAAGTGGCCAGCCCAGGTAAGTACTCTATCTTTCATCTCTAGGAATCCCAATCGGTTGTGTGGGAAATATAAGCTGCAGTTTACCAGTATTAAAGCTTCTTTGAATGGATTTTCTCAACTGTTGGTTATGATTTCACTTGAATATATATCACTTTTGAAATGTAGTCATATGTATTCATTTATATAATTAATTTGCTCTACTTTATCAGTATACAAAAGTTTTCTATCTGGTATCCTCCGACTTCCAAGCAAAAATCTCTTCTGTACATCCTTTGTTGAAAATACAGTCTACTACTACTGCTAAAAAATTGTGTATTTTCGTTAACTGAAAGCCTAGCAATAGGCAATTATCTACTGTACTGTGAGCTTTCTAACTCTAACTTCCAGTAATTACCCATATTTATTCAACTTCAACTTGTCTATTACTGATTTATGTGTTAGATAGCTCAGGTTCCTAGAAGAAAATTAGGTTGCCATTTCCGGTTGACACTATTTATAATCACAAAAGATAGGAAAATGCAAAAAGAAAAAAACAATAGAAACTATTCTTAGAATTAGAAACTAAAAATAGTTTAACTGAAGTCATTAACTAATGATTAATGTATACTATTTTTAGCCTACCTATTTATTTATTTATTAATGTATTGCTTTCTGTTCTTTGATTTATTTAAAACTCACTTCTAGTGTATACATCGTGATATTAAACCTGAAAATATATTGATTAACAAGGCGAATGAAGTGAAACTATGTGATTTTGGATTTGCAAGATTTTTAAGTAAGTGTTATTTGTTGAAATTTACTTTCAAGCGGTTATTTTAACTATCATTTGGTCACTTAATCGGTATTAGTTTTATTCCTTTGGGTTCCGACGGAAACATCTGATGCTCTACTGGAGACAGGTCCTATTCAGGTAGGTTGTCTGTTACCTGGAGTTCCAGTGAGAAGTCATGACCATTGAGGACTAAAACTCGCCAACGAGGACATTGGGTAGTGGTCACGCTATGCCGTGAATTGGCAGAAATTGGTATTCATACGCCACTGAGTCGGGTCGAAGTAGCTTAATGGTCTACGAGTTAGGTCGCCTTGTAACCAGAAGGTCCTGGGTTCGAGCCTCATTTTTTGCATACCGTGAAGAGTCCTCAACTAGGACGAAACAGTTGTCCAGTACTCCCAGGTTTCCAAAGGTTCTTCAAGTGATTTCAGATCATGATGAAATCCTGAAACCTAGGGATTCAATAACACATCTCTGCTTCGTCCTATTCTCTGCAGTCCTCATTAGCTGGCCCCAAGATTCCCCAGAAACATTCACTCCCTCCTCACGTAGTTTCCTTCATGTCATATTCTCAGCCACGCTAAACCCCTCCTTTGCCCTTACAGTCCCACTCGAGAGCCGGGCACATACGCCGAATCCATCTCCAGCAAGAGTTCATTGTTGCCTATCAGTATGGAGACAACGAAGATAGCTGTTGACAGATGTCTCCCATGATCTATTGGAAACACTCTTTGTGATTCACATGCGAGGTGTCTGAGCCATGCAGAAGCCCTGACTGGCATGATATTAATGTTGGAAATTAGGATGTTGTTCCTTATGCTGAGTGCGATGGACTTCTCCAGTGATTTTAGATTAGTGAAGGTCTCTCTGGTTCTTCTAATCCTCAAAAGCTTTGGCATCCTAGTCTTGGCCTTTCGTAGTTGAAATAATGCTGTCCAGACAAGGAAAAGAAGTTTACTGGAACTCCAGTCTTTGCCATTTGTCTCTTCTCCCAATTTGTTGGCTTTCGCGTGTAGATTCTCAAGTTTTTGTGACATCAGATATAAGTTGTTAGAGAAGTCAAGATCTTCTATAGACTTCGTCACTATCTAAAGTATTCCTTTCTTCTCTTTCCTCATGGTTTGTTGCATGACCCAATCGATTATTATTATTGTTCCCTTGGGTTCCTAGTGGAACATAGGGCTTTGACTGCACATCTCCACTTTCTTCTGCTGTACTTTTCACCTGCATCCATATTAGTCCATACTCTTTCAACTCCTCTTCACACGATCTCCTCCATGTCACCCTTGTACTGACGTCCCACTTGCCGCTTCCCTTTCGGGTTCCACTCAACGGCCTGACATGCAATGTCACTCGCGGCCTCCTCAGCGAGTGTCCGATCCATCTCAATCCACTTTCTCCTACAAATTTGTTGGTTTGCGATTGGTTCTTGTTTTGTTTGTTAGTGCCCATAGTTTCTTGTTGGTGATTCTTTCTGGCCCGGCCATCTGAGCGAAGACAGTTGTTGATAAAGATCTGCTATTGGCTGTTGGAAATATTTTTTGTGACCCGCCCGCCAACTTTCTGATCCGTATAGAAGAACTGACTGACTCGACGTTCGTATTGAAAATCCGACGGAATTTTGTTGTTGATGCTGAGTGACGAAGATTTCCAGATTGGTTTCAGGTTGATGAATGTGTGTGTTTCTCGCCTTCCCGATTCTCGCTCGATTTGACATCCTCGTCCGTTCCGACTACCTGTAGTTGAGACAATGCTCCCTAGATGATAAGTGAATGAAGTAACTTTTTTCAAACCCCTCCCGTTGATGGTGATTGACGCTGGATGTTGCTGCTGTTGTTGTTGTTGGTTTGTTGGTTATTTTCATAACCTCCGTCTTGTCTAGGTTCACTTGGAGTCCTGTCTTTGTTGCTTCTTCGACCAATTTGTCGGTTTTTGCTTGTAAGTCTTCGATTTTGTGTGACGTCAAACATAAATCATCCACGCGTGAAATCCGGGTCTTCTAGGTTCGTCACGTCAGCCCATGATATCCCTGTCTTCTGGTTTCCCACTGTCTGACGCATAATCCAGTCCACCACAATTAGGAATATCATCGTGGGCGATAATAAGCACCCTTGTTTGTCTGACCCCTGTGTTTACTCCAAACGCCTCGCTCGCTGAGTTTTCCGTTGTGGATGACTTGACATATGCCGTTGTCGTACAGCAGCTGTTGAATAAGGTTGATGAATATTTGTGATAAGCCGTAGTACTCGAGTGGTTTCCAAATTACTTCAAAGTCAATGCTGTCATAGGCCTTCTCAAAGTCTATAAAGTTGAGGTGATAATAGACGGTCCATTTTGGTTTTTTTTCTAATATTTATTATGATTCTATATGACTGACGTGAATTCTTCTTTCTGCACAACAGATCCAGGCGGTGAATATACAGACTATGTAGCAACACGTTGGTATCGCTCCCCGGAACTTTTAGTCGGCGACACACAGTATGGTCCACCAGTTGATGTTTGGGCGATAGGATGTGTATTTGCAGAAATGCTACTTGGTTGCCCGTTATGGCCAGGTTCTTCAGATCTAGACCAACTGTATCTTATAACTAAGAATCTTGGTAAGTTTAATTATGAATAACTACTCTCAGTGATTGCTGATGTAATAGATGATGTTATCACAAGTCAAATCACAGAAAATTGCCTTCCTCTCATCAGATTCATTTTCATGCCATAACTTTTGAATTTACCGGCATAAATATACTCAAATATGATTCACGCTTCATTCAAGTTAATTCGTAAACTGCCATATTGTATAATTCATTGCAAGTATTAAACATTACAAGAATGGAATATGTGCAAATTACTGTTATTATCTAAAGACGTTAAGTTTTCTCTTTATCACTGTAAAGCTGTGATGCTGAAATTAAGTTAAACGAAGCAGAGCTTTAATACCTGCTTAGATAATATGAACCGAAATCATGGGATATACCCATTAGAAAATTCAACAAAAAAGTACAAAAAGCTCAGCAAACATTTATCCTTTCGGCGATTTCATTCTCAAAAGCTGCAAAATCGAACTCTTATGCATAAGTGTACATAGTTACAGTTATGATTTGATTCAGGTTTGATCACAGAGTGATATCAGTCGGAGAACCACTGAAAACCTGGGAGAACTGAACAGTTGTCTTGTATTAGTTTGGAACTCATTGGCAGTATGCACCCATTCGACTTCAAACCCAGGACCTACCGGTTACCAAGCAAGCTTAAAGATCATTCATTCACTGGGAATCGATTCAATAACCAGTCCATGAATTCTAACTTCTACCAGTTGGATATTTTATCATGACAACTTGCTGATGTCACCATAATTCAACATATTTACAAAAGGAGATCAAAGGCGGTAACACTTTTTACTTCATATGAAAGTCTGAAGGTGTGAATACACATTACAATGACCGTAGAAACAGAATACCATGAGAATTTTAAAAAAATAGTGGCGTCACACGTAAAATAGTTCCTGACGAAGACAAGTGTGAAGGGGATGTTCGAAGAAACAAATTTAAATAATAGTTTTCGATAACTTCTTCTTCAGGCTCTACAGTTATAAATCCATGAATAATAGAGTACATATAGCCAGTAAAGGCAAATGAAAATAATATCAGAAACTGTATTGGGGTGCATGTGTAAGTTGAGGTGATAGTCCATTAGTTAGCATAGTCAATTAAATGTGTATAGGGTGTTTAGTCAGAAAAATGTGATGAAGTGTGAATGAACAATTAGGTGATATAGTGTAGTTTTATAGTTAACAGAATACAAGTGTCCTTGGGGTGAGAAAATGCGATAACCACGAAATACATGTAAAGACACGTTAAAAAATGAGGCACTGGATATGAGGGCTGACCGATAATGTCTAATGATAAAATAAAGAGGCTAAATTGTAAATTGTAATAAAATGCTACAGAATTGGTAGGTTTAGTATAAAATCATAAAGGTTGACAAAATAAGGGTAACAATGAGGTGAAATAAACTGGGTGGAGAAATGGATAATAGAGACATGATATCACAAAATAATAATAATGATAATAATAGTACGAAAAGATTATGATCCTGGTGACCTTATAGTGGGCCAGGGTAGACAAAGAGAGTGAATAATTTTTTTCTGTACACATAGATCTGGTCTTTCTCTATTAATCTCTAAAGCCTCAGCTATGGCTAGGAGGCGTAATCGTGTGCCTTTGGGGAGATTGTTCGGTACCCGATACGCAACCGTAAATGACTCATCTACTTTGATGCTGTGTTCGCTATCCACTATATGAGACAGAATTGTACTATTAATTGATTTGGTTATTCTTTTCCCAAGCCAAACAGGAATATGTTCACGAGTGCGTAGAGATAAATTCACATTTTCTGACTAAACACCCTATACACATTTAATTGACTATGCTAACTAATGGACTATCACCTCAACTTACACATGCACCCCAATACAGTTTCTGATATTATTTTCATTTGCCTTTACTGGCTATATGTACTCTATTATTCATGGATTTATAACTGTAGAGCCTGAAGAAGAAGTTATCGAAAACAATTGTTCGCTCAAAATCTTGTTTTGATTTCAATATGGGGATTTTTCATTTACTTAAATAATAGTTTTTTTTAAACTAGATATTGAAAACTAAGGAGTCAAACGGTACTAAATCCATGGTAAATGCAGACATTGGACCAGTTTCGTCTAAACAAATAGCTCTGGCTTTTTGGTGCATAAGAATTGGGCTTTTTGAAGTTCAGAAAAGTCGGAAACACACCACATTTGGTAGATTTCTGTCCACTTTGTAAACGACTTAGAATGATGATCTATTTGAGATGTTGTAACAGGTACTGAGGAAATGTTCAGTTATAGCGTTTCTGATTGAACCAATGCCGACTGTTTGTAGTCATCCCGCGTAGTGTTGTCTGAAACATTTTGAAAGGATGCGTCCATATAACGATCCATATAAATAGCTCGACCGAAGTAGATGAACTGATGTATGGACCTTTCAGTGGTTATATAAAATTATTTTCTACTTCTTCGGGATTTCGTTTTTATGACCACTGTAGTCTATATTTCCACCTTCAAGCTTTCATGTGAAGTCAAAAATTATTATGACATTTAATCTCCCTACTTTACTGTGTTCAACTTATCAGTGACATTCAAGTTTTTGATTTGAAGAGATCTAATTGATTGGTTACCTGGTGTTCTATTGGGAACTCATGACCAGTAGCGTACAGCAGGTCGGGTGTGAGGATGAACAATTGCCGTAGACATTCGCTAGTGGTCACGCTATTTAGTGAATTGATAGAAGTTAGAATTCATGGACGGGGTTCCAGTTGCTAAATGCTCTGCGAGTTAGCTAGTCTTGTAACCTGAAGGTCCTAGGCTCAAATGTCCTGCGGTGGGTGCGTACTGATGAAGAGTCCCAAACTAGGCTGACGAAACAGCTGTCCAGTACTCCCATTTGGTTTTCCAGTGGTCCTCTAACCGATGTCAGTTCATGATGATGTCCTGTAACTATGTAAATTTATGTCTAAAAATTCGATTGTGCAGCTTTTGAGAATGAAATCATCCAAAAGATATCTATTTGTTGAGTTTCTTGTACTTTTCTGTTTAATATGAATCGAGTCAAAATTTACCTAATTATCAAACTCCTCTTGTATCACATTCACTTTAGACTTCACTCTTAGAAGCCTTCATATTTGAGCAGGTTTCGTCTATTCCTTTACAATCATGAGTGGCTGTTGTTGCATACAACGTTGTTTTAACTACCTATTCTTTTCCATGCGTATGTCTATTTTTGTTTTCATACATTTCGTTCCCTTGATAAATTTCAATAAAGCAATAGAGATCAGATTTTTAGTAAAAAATGATACCATCATTCTATTTCACAGATTCTCATCAGTAGTTATCAATGGTTATGACAATGACATACTTCAATGTTTTAATGGCAGTAGAGAAAACATTAAAAAATTAGCGCATCCAAACAGTAAACATTACAATTTGTGGTTTAAGTTACCGTCAATTTATACGCTTTTCAAAATGGAAAACGAGGGACAGGGAGGAGAAGACAGAAAGCGGGAAAGTCTAATAAATACTGTTAGTTTATATAAGTTCACGGTAGCAAATTAAGACGATAACAGTTCATAAGACTGAATCTTGTTCTGTGAGGTGAAATCACTAATATGAACGATTAATCACACTCTTTTTCTGTATGCATAAGTTTAGTTTGGAAGGCTTGATTGCGATTACTTCAGTAAATCGTAAATTTGTACACACAGTTAGATGTGACATTAACAGGCTACTCATTCAGTTTTTATTGACTTATGAAGCGTGTGATACTGTATGGTGTTACAAGCTTAGTTGCAGGGAAGCATCCTTTTATTTCTGCTTTCATCTACTTGTCAATATTTTGTGATACTGCCTCTCTTTTGAATGGGAAGACAAATAAACACCTTTTTTCCAACAATCAGATGCTTCGTTTGCTCATCTTTTTCTTTGCTTTGCTTCTGGATAAATCTCTTCGGATATCCATTTTCCGCCAGGCATTTCTCAGAAAAGCCTAATTCATCTTCCATCTTGTTAGGCGAACATAGCTTCCAGTCTCTGTTGTACAGTGTTCTCAATATATTCATTCCATGCTTATAGGCTGACACTGTTTATTGGATTTGTCTATTTTCTATCTTTTTCGCCCATTTCCTTCTTTTCTATTCTGAAAGCATGTAAATTGATGGTAAGTTAAACTAAAATTTGTAGTGCTTACATTTCGGATGCACTAATTTTATAATACCTTCTCTGCTACCATTGAAAAATTGAAGTATTTTTATTTGATTTCTAAACCTGTGATGAGAATTTTTTCTCTGAATACGTCAGGAATAAGGTTATGCGTAAATACATTGTCAGCTGTACCATTATCATTGTTTCTATAATGTATATAATCAATTTCTTTCTACTATAAAGCACGCTCGCCGACCATGCATATGGTCCGGGGTTCGACCCCCGGCCGGCACACTCCTTTACCTCACTGAGTTAGAAATAATGCCTGTAAAGAGGAAAGGTTGGGCATGAGGCTAGCAACCCCATCCTGTAAAAATTAAACACTGCTACAGAAACTTCAAGCCACTAGCTTGAAGCCCTATGTTCCACTGGGAACGTGAAGGAAAAAATAAATAAATAAAGCACTTTTATACACCTTATCGTCTAGTCTACCTAGCCGTTTGATGATTCCAGTAGTCATTGTTTAGTCTAGGCAGTTTTAAACTATGCCCAAATTTGGTGAGATGATGACAAATAGCAGCAGTAGAATCCAGGATGAGCATTTCGCATCATCTAGGGCTCATTATCTGGCTGTACCTTCATTGCAAACCAGTGAACAAACATTTTCTCGTATCATTCCGCTGACATCGTCCAGGTATCCACGCAAGGAGTGGACATGTCGGCACGAACCAGATAATTTGGCCCAATCAATCAACAGGAAAAAATCAAAATTAATGGAAACAAAACACCGTAGTTCAGCGAGGAGTTTCTTTTCGGCGAATTCATTCACTTAACTGTACAATCGCATGCGTGTGTACATTAGGTTTGTCT